ATCAGAACTGGCCAAACGTTTTATAACACATCATTGTCATAGATTCATCAATTAATCTGGCACTTTTATGTAGACTTGCCTAAGACCATGGTGCACTTAACAGAGCCAGAATTATTCTGAATTAATCATGCATGGATTTAAACTTCTTTAATAAATAAAAAATACACTATATACTATAGTCCAGTGATAGTGAACCTTTTTGGCACTGAGTGCCCAAACTGGAATACACATGCGTGTGCTGGAGCACCAGAAACTTGAAGATCAGCTGGTCGGTGTGCATGCATGGTGTGCATCCACTTTGGGTTTCTGGTGTGCATATGCACTCTGTCCACTTGGTCTTTGCGTGTACCAGAATGTCGGAAATCCAAAGATCAGCTGGCCAGCACGTTTTATTTGTGTTATCATGCTTTATTAAATATCTCAGATGTAAGATATTTACTTGCATGCACCCTGGCCAGCTGTTCCTTGGGTTTCCAGTGCTCCGACGCATGCAAAGATCAGCTGGCTGGCGCACATGCATGCACCAGAAACCAGAAGAGCAGCTGGCAACGGCACATGTGCCCACAGAGAGGACTCTGCATGCCACCTCTGACACATGTGCCATAGGTTCACCATCATGGTATAGTCCCAATTAGGATTTGGAATCCTAAAATATTTGAGGACATTAGCTTGGGAATAGTTTGCTTTACGTCCTTAAATTCTTGCAAATATTTAAATCAAATTTAACCATCCATCTTTATATTGTCAATATATGTGGGGAACACACTGAGAAATGGCTACCATGCCATGGTACATGAGGACATTTATTGAGGAATGATTCTATGGCAGAGGACTTGTTTCTTTTTCTTTCCTTTTCTTTTTTTCTTTTGGAACTTCCACATGAATTATGGTTTCTTCAGCTGGTTCTTTTCTATCTTGGCATGAGCAACCTCTTTTCTTTTCCAGCTTACCTTAAAATGTCAGTGACATACCACAGCATTCTCAATAGACAGAGTCTAAAGTCTCTTACTTCTGAGATATTTAATAAAAGATGAACCCTTTATCTTTTAAGTCTGTTCATTTTAGGGACTACATCCCATTTGAAGACTACATCTTCAAATCCCATCTCAAAACTTACATTTTTTTAATGCTATCTGGGCTTTGCATGATCTCCCACAATTAAGTGATAGTTCTAAATATTATTAGCCAGAATGCTCACATATATTCTCTCTCATTTTCCCATATTGGTTTTTTTTTTTTAGTACGATTTTACATTGGAAGGTAGTCACGGCATGTAGTCCCTTGTATTTATAAAAAACATAGTTCAGTTTTCTGGGATATATTTTACAAAAGGCTGATGAGACTTAAGGAAGCCTTAACCAGAGATTTGTTTGTAGGTATCAAGGCTACAAGGCAGTTATTGTCATTTTGCACAACTATTCATTGTAGTGAGATGCTTCCAGATGGATAGTTTGCAGAACTGACAATCATGGATAACTTTTTCTATCCTTCATAGATTTTTCTCTGGTGACAAGATAAAAGAAATATGAAAATACAGAATAGTTTACAAATGAAACATAAGGTTATGTGGTTATTCCCCCCCTTAAAATTCTATGAATAATGCAGATAGTCACATAATATCGACACATATCCACCAAGAAGCTTCCAGATTGAACTTTGTCCATTTCACTGGTAGAATCCAAGGGCCATCATGACGTTGCTGCTACTGTTAAACAACTGGGAACAAAATATCCATATGGCATATTACAAATTACTCAAAGATCTATTGGAAGAGTCAACTTTACCATCTACAGTACTCCCCCTCTAAAGTTCTGTACACACTGGTAATGTAAATAATAATAACAGCAGTAGTAGTATCAATAGTATTAGTAGTTAATTTATTAATTATGTCCATCAAGTTGTTTTCAACGTTTAGTGACCACATAGATAAAATTTCTCCATGATAATCTGATCTTTCAGTTCTTCCATCTGTGCAGCCCCTATAATTGAGTCTATCCAACTTGTTGCTAGTCATCCTCTTATTCTCTTTCCTGTCACCTTTACTAGGATCCTCTTTTCCAGAGAGTTGGGTCTTTGCATAATTTGAGCCTGGTCATTTGTTTCTCAAGTACGAACGCTGGGTTAATTTGTCTGATTTTCCATTGGTTGGCTTTCTTGGCTATCCATGGTATTCTCAAGAATCTTCTCCAACGCCCAAGATTAAAAGCATCCAAACTCTTCTTCTCCTGCTTCTTTAAATTTCAACTTTTGGTTCCATAGAGTATCACAAAGAAGATCATGGCTTGGTAGGTATAGAAACATTAAAGCATTTGGAGATCTGTTCCAAGATTTCTGTTGCTGCCTTTTCCACAGCATAAATATGTTTTTGGATGATTGGTGATGCTATATAGCACATTAAATTAGGAGAGATATTACTGTGTATAATTAGTGTTACTTCCTAAATTCTGGGACCAAAGATTCTCCAATACCCAAACAGATTTTCCTGGCATGTAAGGTCCCATTGCCAATTCAGGTTCATTGAATCACTCAGGAGAACATTATCTGTTGGTACTGAAAAAATGTTCCTTTTCAGTATCCCATTAATGGATTTCATATTTGTGAAATTGGATTTCCTTGCAAAAACTAAGGTGCAGATAAAAAATATTCCATTCTAAATGGCTGATTGGTAAGAGCTACTCCACCATAGAACAGCCCTCACATTTAGAATAATTTTCAGCATCTCCAAGAAACCTAATGAAGGTTTTTTTTTTTTTTTAAAAAGGTTGTAATTGCTGATAAAAGCAACTGGAATTTCAAAATGGGAGTTGCATCCATAATTAGTGGGAATGTTGACTTCCAATCTTTTTCTCATCTCTAGAAATCAGAAAATGCAGATGAGGAAAAACAATGGTAATGAGAAGGTATTCTCCAATTTCATCTTTTCTTCAAACATAAAGGGAGCCATTATCTAGATTATGATATCAGTGTTGGTAGAGATATATTTAATTTTTCTTCTGCCTGTTGGTTTCCGATGGAAAATCTTAAAACCTCACAAACGCAAAGGTGTGATTCCTCCATTTTGTTCAGGGCTTTGATGGACATGCTGGGGAAGTATGCTTCAAAAAAAAAGGTTCTGGACAAAGAAATTATTGGAGCTGGACAGAAATCAAGTTGGATTTAATTTAATTTTCAAGTTAATTAAATTTGAATTAGTTCCTTATAGTTAATGTGATTATATCCCATAATTTTCCACGTGTCATACTAAAAAAAAAAAAAGAATTACAGATGGTTGCAATGTTAGGGGCTCAAGGGATCATCTTTAAAGTGGATTGTGGGGGGGAGGCTGAAAATAGTCCAGGAGCTTCAGGTTGTATATTTCTGATAGATTGCCTGATGGAAGTGGGAGAAAGGCAACGGTTCCCCAGGAAAAGGCTGTTGTGGTCAAGAAACTAATCAGTTGGAAATGTTTTAAAATAAAGAAACACCTTCCTGGTTGAAACAATTTAAGGATCCCTGTAGAGTAAAACTTTGAACCTTTAATCTCAAGAATGCTAGACATGGATCTTAAGTATCATATCTATGCTTGATCATAACATTTAAGGTTAAGGTTCCATCATTTTTTTCCTCTTTCTTCTTGGACTTGTCCTTCAGTAGAAGAAAGGTGAGATGAAAGGTGGCAGAAGTTTTTTTTCCAACCATAGAAATATGGAAACTGCTTCCAGGCTGATTTTTATTGTTCAACATGCTGCGCCTTGCAGATCCAAATCTCACAGCACAGGTAGTGCTTTGAAAGAACAGCATATACTGGCTTGAAACGACTTTGCATTCCCAGGAGGAAACATAAAAATCAGCATAAATCTCGTTGGGAGAATGTAGTTGCCTGTTGTGCATCTCAAATTAATGCTAAGAAGTCAAGGGAAGATCTTTTTTTACCATACTATTCATACAAATATATTCCCTCTGCTCCCACTGAGCAAAGGTATTGATAATATTCATAGAAACCCAGTAGACAGTAACAGAAGGATTTTGAATCTGAATCTGAATACAATATACCAGCCAACATCCATTTATATTAGTTTGGGATTTCTTGGTTAAAAAGAAGCTAGAATTTTAGGAATAAAGGTACAGAATGCATGGAAGTTATTGCCCAAAATCTTTCAGGTTTTTGGCATTCACAAAGATATAAACCAATACACTTTTGAGAAAATATACTTGCGGTACAAGATACTGCACCTGTTTGCACATATACATACCTCCGCTTTTCTGCAGCATTACCAAAGTCTTCTTTCATCCTGTGGTACCAAATTTGTGGGTGAATGTATGTGAATGACTTCTTCATCCCACACAAAGATCCCTTATTAAATTGTACAAAAGATGCAGTTCCACATGGCTTTGGAATAAGCTGAAAATCAGGTGGCCATTCCAAATGTGTGTAGAATTGCACTAGACAATGAATAAATGGGCAATAAAAAGCCACGTCCCAGGTATACAAACCTAAGTGATTGTTAGGCTGGAACAAGTTTAGTTTAGTTACATGCAAGTATGATTAGGGAGGCATGCATCCATTTTGATATGTGAGAGGAAAAGGGGTACAGCAGATACAGTATGCTGAAAGGCAGTTGGTTTGAACCACAGGCATCACTATTTTAATTTGTTTTGAAGGAACAGGAACACAATTGCTGTGAATCTGAGAGCCAGTTTGGTCTAGTGCAGTGTTTCTCAACCTTGGCGACTTTAAGTCCTGTGGACTTCAACTCCCAGAATTCCCCAGCCAGCAAGAGCTGGCTGGGGATTCTGGGAGTTGAAGTCCACAGAACTTAAAGTCGCCAAGGTTGAGAAACACTGGTCTAGTGTTTAAGACATCAGACTAGAAACCAGAAAACCACGAGTTTTAAGTTCTTAGCCTTAGCCTTGGGCCAGTCATTTTATCTCAGCCCAACCCACTTCATAGATTTGTTGTTGTGGGGAAAATATGAGGAGGAGGAGGGTGTGTTGGGTATGTTCACCACCTTGGGTTGTTTGTAAAAATAATAAAGATAGAATATAAAAAAATAAATAATAAACCTGATCCTACAGCTTCAGTTGCTTGTCTGTACTGCTGTTAAATTTGGTCAAGCAACATGCATGTAAAAATGTTAATACAGAGGTATCACTGTTTTCCACTGCAGCTTTCCCCCCATGTCTCTAATCTTAGAACCTAAGTAGGCAATCAGTGGTCCCCCAAATGTGACTGAACTTCAGTTTCCAGCAGTCTCATTAAGCACTGCAGCACCAGTGATGAGAGATGCTGGGAGTTGTAATCCAAGAACATCTGAAGGAGCACAATTTCTATCTTCCATTTTTAAAGCAGTCTTCTCCAATTGAATGTCTTCTGGACTTCAATTTCCAGAAGATGCAGTTAATATGCTATCCCTTCTTCAGTAGAGTAAAGGTGGAAACTTTTGGCACTTTCCCACATTCTTCATCATGTTTGCTCCTTCAGCATCTTCCTTGTTTCCTGTTGACCTAGTTAACCCTATTGTTCTCTTTATTCCCTTCATTTTGGCCTGCTAGACTGTCATCTTATAACTCTTTGTTACTAAAACCAATGCTCCACCTCTCTGTTTTATAGTCATCTATTGTTCTCACTAGGACCTTACTGCATACAGTAAATATCAAGCCCTGCTACCCTCATTCCTCTAAAAAAAACACCCCACTACACATATTTGATGTTCCTCTTCTCCAGAATTCTAACCATTAAGGTTTATTTACAGAAAGCTCTAGATCAAGGCAGGATATTCTTAGCCCATGGTATGCATATTGCTAACCGGCCCTGTTTTTGTTATCTTCAGAAGAGTCCCAGATATCACACCAGTAAAATAAGTGGAATATCTCTGATTTTAACTGTGGTTTTTTTTGAAGGGGAGCTTTAAAAAGAAAAAAAAGCCTCCCTACATATCTATTGCATCCTTTAAATTCTTCAAGCACTTAAAAAAACATACACAGAGGAAAAAGGATCAAAAAAGGGGCCCAGCCCTCCAATTATGTCCCTGTATGTTTAGCCATTTCTCCTTCATTCTTACATTACAAAATATTCTTTATTGCATTGAAGCATACTAGTTTTTATCTCCAGTTCCTCCTAACTAACCTTAATAAAGAGGGAGAAAGATTATTCGCTTTAACCAAGGGTGCTATTTTTGGAAAAGGCAAGGCTGAGTAATCTCTCTGTCACCATTTCCAAATTCTCTTTTTCCTTTCCAAATTCTCTTTTTTTTCTTTTTGCTTCTTTCCCCTTCCTACCCAGCAGTTAAAACGATTGGGGTCTTTTTGGCCTTAAAGTAACCTTTAGGATTTATAATTGGGTCAAGTGCTCCATGTAGTCCTGAGGAACTTCAGTTTGATTGTCTAAGAAAGCCATTTTTGGACTACCTCCATGTGGCAAATCCAAATACTTTCTTCTCCTCCCCTCTGACCTCTACAGTCTTTGAAAGAGGTCCTTTCAAGACATCATGGTCACTGTGAATCTCCCCCCAGATGGTTGTTCTTCTTTATAAACACTTTTCCAACCGTTCTACTAAATGTCTCTTTTTGTGTGTGTGAGAGAGAGGGAGGGAGGGAGAGGGAGGGAGGGAGAGATAGAGAGGGAGAGAGAGACTTTCCTAGGCTTTCCCTTTCTCTTTGCTGGAATCCGCCCCTGCCCCACTATTCTCTCTGAGCAACCTCCGCCAATTCAATAGCTTTTGATACCTCTTGTACCTTGTTGATCAGCTATGCTACCTTTCTGCTAAGAGGTTTCTTCCCTTCAGGCCAGCTGCCTATTCCCAGGAATAGGAACTTTGTTACTGTAGATGTTGACAGCTGCAAAAATCTTATGTGCCCAAAAATGGAAAGAATTAACCCACATAATGAAGGAATGAATTGAGAAGATGATGAACTAGTGAAGATGGCAGTGGAGTTAACTGCATTAAAGAATGTAAATAGTTTTGTGGTTACTTGGAAACCACTTTTGGATTACCTGTATGAAAGGGAGGGGGAATGAAATTTTGACTTTGGGTTTTCATAATTAAATGGGCTATAGAATGGCTTGTAGTTACTATTTGGCAGTATCAAGTTAAAAGTTGATACTTTAACTTTATTTAGGTAACTTACTGCATTGGGGGGGGAAAACCAGGAAGTTAACTGTTTTTTTTTTTGTTTCTTTCTTCCTCTTTCCTTACTTTATCTTCTCTATCCACTTTACTTCCTATTCTTTCCATTGTCTTTATTTTCATTTGTATTTTATGTTAAGAAAAATATTGTAATAAAAATATATTTTTGAAAATTATTTTGATATTACTACCCAAAAAAGATGAACACACAGAGAAGTTTTTTCTTTTCATTAGTGGAAAAATATTCCATATTTTGTTTCCACATTGAATCCACCATCAAAAGATGATGTCACTTCTCTGTGTGCAACCCTGCAAGAAAAAAATATACAGGATAGCTCATTTTTTTCACCCTTTTGCAAATCCTCCTTTTTCATATTTTGGGCAATTTTTTTGGTCTTGATTACAGCAATCTTCTCCTGTCTAGTCATAAATTGTCATCCCTTACCCACTTTCATTTTTTCATAGCACTCACATAACATAACAGACCAAATAATTCCTTATTTTAATCCTTCAACAACTTGATCTAATCCATATTCCTTAAATATCTAGACCATCTTTATTTATTTATTTGAAAGATTTCTTTGACTGACCTTCTTAAGCAATTCTGGGCATCTCACAATAACAATGACAATAACCCTTTCCAACTGGATGTCCTCTAGATGTGTTAAACTCTCCAAATCCTCAGACCATCTTTTGACATAAAATGCCTGCCAATTCAGGAGATCAGGCTGGGGAGACTGTTGGTTCTATTCTATCCCAAACATTCGTGCCTCCTGTAAGTTTTGCTTCTCCAATTCCCAGATCTCTTTTGTGATGTAATCTTCTGATGTTTTTGTCCATCTTTTCTTCGATGCATTTTCCCATGAAAGCTTGAAAGTTCTCAGTCTCCCTATCTATCACAGCTTTCTCCAAATGTTCAGCTTTCCAACTGGGAATGTTGGAAACTATAGTCCCAATGCTTGTGAAGGTGCCGCAGATTGCCTTGTTATATCTAATTGAAAAAACATATGTTACTTTCTTCTGGTTGAAGTTTAAATAATGTGAAGTCTTTAGATGTGGGAACTTTTCTTCTCACATGATGGGTGGGAAAAATCCGATCTTTCAAAGATTGTTGGGCTACATCTTTCACTTCCCATGACTATTAGCAATGATGGCTGGGACTCTGTGGTTTCCCATAGTACCATAATATGTAATAATGTTTGTTTTAGTTTCCTAAAATGCTTAGTCCTTGGGTCTCCATATAAGAAAGCAGATTTATCCACAGAGATCACACTATACAACATTATGGACAAAAATGGTATAAATGACAACTGTTGAATCCCCCCTGTTGTGTGTTGGGGAGAAATCGTGTATGTTGCAGCATCTCCATCTCTACCTCATTGATATTAGGCCACTTCATGTGTGATGACCAACCTGGTTCAAAGAAAGCATAGAAAATCATGGATCCATATATGATGGCCCCCATTCCCAAAATCTGTAGTATGTGCTATCTTACTTTTTCAGACAATGACCTCTTCATTAACTGGCGGAAAATAAAGAAGGATTTTACGCATGAGTTCTTGAATATAAATGGAACACCCGAAGCAATCAAGTGAACGCAAGAACCCACAATCCACATACACACTCTTATGACTTGGTAGCTTAGCTTAATAAGGTCAGAACAGGAAGAGTGGGATTAAGTAAAAGAGAAGTACTAGCATATACCTTCCCGTGCCCCTACATACATTTGTACTGCTGCCAAAATTCATCCTTAAAATGCATTTTATGCATTTGAATAATAGCTCACATTTATTCCCCCCACTGAAAAAACCATCCTAGGGAGGATTGGAAACATCTTTATGGATTTTATTAAAATAAGAAACTCAGACCAGACCCCAAAATGTCACGGGAATCCACAGGCCCTTTTTTTCTTTTTTTTTCTTTTTCAATTTTTTTAGGCCAGAAGTGCAACCCCCATCAAACCCAACATTCCCACCCCAGATTATTACAAATTAAAAAATACCTCCATACCCCTGTGTCTCTAGGGAGCACATTGGCTGTGCCTGCTTTCCCATAGTAATAATACTAGTCATAAAAAATTTCCAGAAACCCTGTGTGCCCAGCATCCCCACATGCTCCAAATGTGGGGCGGGGTGAGGGTGGGGATCCTGGCACCACTATGACCTCCCATTTCTTTATTTAATTTATTTATTTGTATATCCCAATGGATGAAAATAGAATTTTGATGGAAAGCGGCTCAAAATAAGACTTTTTTAAAATCCCTTTCCCATTCCACTTGGGTTTTATGTTTTATTCTTCTTCCTAAAGATTATTCTCATGACGTTGAAAGGAAAATGTCCTCCCTTCCTTCTTTGTCACTTTCATTGTTCCTTTTCTTTTCTTTCTTTCATTCATTTCAAAGTAAAACAACAGGTAGTTGGATACAGAAACAGCCCCATCTGTATAAAAAAAGTCTCCAATGTAAAGGGAGTATGGTAGAAAAATAAGAAAAGGAAAGGGGAGAGAAAAAGAAAAGAAAAGAAAGGGAAGATCAGGCAGAAGGTGAGAGCAGTGTCTTGTTTTGCAGAAGGAAAAAAGAAGAGAACATAAAAAGCTAACTTGGTGAGAACCAAAGGTATCTACTGGTGGAGGCTTGGGATCCAAGATCTGCCATGGTGGTGGAAAGACCTGTGTTTGTTTGTGTTTGTTTTTAAAGTGAGGAGGGAGGAGCTGTTCCTCAACATGTTCCTCACTGCGTATACTAATCCATTGCCGCCCTCCCACCACAGAATTACTCCCCTTTTCCTCAAGCTGTGGCTGTCATATCTGTGTCTCTTGGACATTTTCTTTAGAGCTGCTCTTGAATAAAAGAGGTTCATGGATGGAATTGAGCATGGGGTTCTTGGAGCACGTGAGGGGTCCACCACCACTATTGTTGTTGTAGTGAGCCTTGAAAGCAGCATAGTGGTTGAGGTGGTCATGCTCAATGGCAGGAAGTGCAAGATGGCTGTCACCGGGAGCTCCAGCTGCTGCAGGCAACTCATCTTCAACATTGATGATCTCAATAGTGCGGGTAGGTCCGTGATGCTTATGAAGCTGGTGCTGCTTACGAAGTTTGTAGAAGACAATGAGCATCACAGCAGCCATGAAGGTAATGGCCACAAAACAGCCAATTATGATCTTAGTAGTTTTCATCACATCATCCAAATCTTTCATGCCATTTTCTGTGACATCAGTGATTGGGATAGTAAATGGCTTCTCAGTGCTGCGTGTGCTGCGAGGAGTCAGTGAAGTAGTGGAATAAGTCATGCCCCAGCCTTGGGAAGGTGTTGGCCCAGGTTCCTTCTTTGTGGGAATTGATTCTTCTTGGCCAGAATCCATAGTCTCCACAGTTACAGTAGTGAAGTAAGTATAACCTGTAGTGGCTGGATCCACAGCTGAGACATTGAGTGTGGCTGAAGCAGTGGTGTTGCCAGCTGAATTAGTCACCATACAGGTGTACTGCCCAGTGTCCTGGACTGTCACATTGGTGAAGTTGAGTGTGCCATCATGAAGGACAGAAATGCGTACCCGATAGGATCCATGTGTCATCAGTGTGCCATTGGGTGTGAGCCAGTTCACTGATGTCATGGAGGTCCCTGTTCGGCACTTTAATTCAGCAGCCATTCCCTCAGTCACATTAAGATCAGTTGGAGGCTCCACTATAACAGGGGCATAACAAGTAAAATGGCTTTGATCCAACTCTCCAATATATCGCCCTTTTAGGTTTGGTGGGGCATGGCACCGGGCACAGCAGGTAGTGTTGTTGGGCACTGTCTCTTTGAGCCACCAGCTGAGCCACAACACATCACAATTGCAATGCCAAGGATTATGATTGAGGTGGACACGTTCTAGGCGGTGTAAAGGGGTGAACAGATCATGGGGCAAGGACATCAAATTATTGTGGGAGAGATTGAGCTCTTCCAATGACTTAAGGTCATCAAAAGCATTGCGTTCAATGGTGGCTACTTGGGCATGCATCAACCACAACTTGCGAAGGCTAGTCAGACCTTGGAAGGAGCCCGGCCGGATCATGTCCAGGCGATTTCCAGAAAGCTCAAGTTCTTCTAGCCGTACTAAGGCTGTCAAATTTGGAATATCTTTAAGGTTGCACATGCCCAAGTTCAGGTACCTCAAATTGACCAAGCCTTCAAAAGCTGCTTCTGAGATATACTCCAATTTCTTGAGCTCTCCAAGGTCCAGACGACGCAAAGAAGGGACTCTATTGAAGGCATAAGAAGGGATGCTTTCAATGGGATTGTTCCTCAGCCATAGTTCCCGCAACTTGGAGAGGTACTCAAAGGCCTGTGTGGGGACAGTGGTTAGCCGGTTGTCAAAGAGCTCCAGTGTATTGAGGTTGGGCAAGCCGTTGAAGGCACCAACCTCAATCTTACGAATGAGGTTCTTGCTAAGTTGTAAAATCTCAAGATGACGAAGATGCTTGAAAGTATCAGTCTTTATCACCTGGATGTTGTTCTCCTGCAGATTGAGGTACCGTGTGTTGATTGAAATGCTCTCGGGCACTTCCACCAGCTCCCGGCGTGTACAGATGACCCGGCTGGCTTGGTTGCTGCAGGAACAAGCAGCTGGGCAGGAGGTGGGGGAGGCTCCACCCAAAACAAATGATGGCAGCCAGAGGGAGATGAGAACAAGATGTTTCCAAATCATTCTAGAGATGCCGGGGGCCAGCCAAGGCTTCCGAGTGCAGCGGCGGGTGGCCATGTCCAAAGCTCATGCTTCAGTGAACAGCACGTTTGATGCTCAGATCTTCAGAAACTGGGAAGAAGAAAAAAGAGAAATAAGGCTCCCAAACCAGATATACTTATAATTAGAAGCACTGGAGTTCAGGAGTCATTCGGTTAAATGGATTCTGGGCAGTTCAAGACACAGGTAAAGATTTCTTTATATACCACTTGATTAATTTACAGAATTTATGGAATTACTGCAAGATGTAGGGATGAAAGGCCAGTGGCCTAAAAAGGGTGGTTTAAAAAAATATATTAAAATAGCTCTCTCCAAGCTGCCCTCAAATGATTCAGTTTCTGCAAGCACTTCACCTTTTTCTATGGCTTTCTTGAGGGTCTCACCTCTACAATTTGTGTCTAGGATACTGAGACTTCCTGGTCCTGCCTGTTTTCTCTTTTTTACTTTGTCTCAAAATGGGAAAACAACCATTTGCTACCTAAGTTGAAATTTTTGGAGGCTATAAAGTAAGTATGTCCATACCCAGGGGTAGGTTGCTGCTGGCATTACTGCCATTTGGTGCCCCAAAAAGTTTGCATACGCATGCACATTTGCAAATAAAAAGGTCTGTGCATGTGCAAAACCTTAAAAATGGAAAAAAATAATTTCTGCACTGAAAATTGTTTTGCTTGTGCGCAGAACTGAAAAACAAGATGGCAGCCCATAGGAGAACCAGTTCAGGGGTGTGACAGGGCTGGGTCACTGCTGATTCCAGCGACCCAGGCCACCAAGTTATTACCGGTTCAGCTGAACCACTAGGAACCCACCTCTCACTATATCACACTTGATATATAGTGACAAAGTTTGAAATTATAGAGATTTTAATATATAGAGAGAAATGGGAATGGTTGAGATAGAGAAGATAGGGATAGAGACGGAGAAATACAGATGAGAGATAGATAGATGAGACATGAGATATCAGAAGGAGAGAGGAGATAGTGAAGAAAAGAGGTGATAGAAATTATAAATCTACAGAGATATAGAAAAGATGAGAAAGAATAGAGATATGAGATTAGATAGATGACATGTAAATTAGATAGATAGATGATAGATAGATAGATAGATAGAAGATAGATAGATAGATAGATAGATAGATAGATAGATAGATAGATAGATAGATAGAAGATAGCTAGATAGAAGATAGCTAGCTAGATAGCTAGCTAGCTAGATAGCTAGCTAGATAGCTAGCTAGATAGCTAGCTAGATAGCTAGCTAGATAGAT